CTGCTGAAATGGGCTTTCTTAGACGAGTCACTGGCCTTACGCGTCTCGACATGGTCCGGAATACTGACATTCGGGAGAGCCTTGGTGTCTAGCCTCCGTTCTCCAGATTGAGAAGTCACAGCTGCGATGGCTTGGGCATGTGTTGCGAATGCCTCCAGAAAGGAAGGCTAAGCAACTATTTCTTGCCAAATCGATCGGCGAAAGGTCCAAGGGACGGCCAAGATTAACATGGTGCAGATATATTGAAGGAGTCTGTTCCAGACTCCAGTTGTCTTCTGCCACTCGAACTCTGGCACAGGATCGGGAATGCTGGAAGCACTGTCTGACGCTTCTGTCTCAGCCACCCAAATGAATGAAAAAATGAATGAATAGTCTATTTCGGTCGTTTGTCTTATTTTTGTCTTGACATTTTCCTGACGTTGGTTTTCGGTATCCCGATGAATATAGCCCAATCAAATATCATAATCAGTTTAGAGAGTTATTATCCTATAGTTATAATGCTGAAAACAGCATAAAACATAGTTCATTTACATACACGGTAAATAATGTGGTGGTTGATCAGTTCTGACATTTCTTAAGTTGTTTACAGATCTTCTTGAAGGTAGGGAGGTGGCTAGATTCGAAAAACTTGCTTGTGTCATACAAATAAAGCGTGTTTTGCGCCGTTATCAGTAAGACTGTCAACGCACGGAGTAAATACCTAACCTTCAGATAGTAATGCTATTTCTATCATCTGAAATAAACAGAATAGGCGCTCCTCTTCAAACTTTTCCCATTCGGTTTCATGAATTCTTTACACTACATCAGGTGGGTATATTTAAGCTCTAATTTAGCAAAGCTGTTGGTCAGTATCAGCAGTAACAGAAAAGATAAGAAGCCACAAATCACAGATCTGAATACATCAGCTGAAATGGAAAGACGAGCTAAAGGTAAGACAAAAAATTCGATTGACAGAAATGCTCCCGTTACTGAGGGCAAAGACTTATCAAGGAATGTACTGCTGCACTAGACCATAATTCTGATGTCGCTGATAAGGTGTATAAGGTTAACAAGACCTGAATGCGACGTGAATCTTGTACACTGAAAACAGTAGCACACGGAGAGCAAGATTAGGCGGTTCCACGACTCTGCTTAAAGACGACTGGTGTAATCACGTTCAGTACGTAATATAACACATCAACAAATATTTCACATAAAATGTTACCCTGATATTCTGAAATGGCTTGCATGAGTAAGAACTTTCAGTTACACCATAAGGTAAAAAAATTTTTCTTTCTTTACACGGTACATATTTGGCATCATTATTTAACGGAGGTATCGAAAGCTGCTACTAGTGGAATCTACCCTAGAACATCGGAATCTCAGTTTATGTGATTTTTCATGCATTCGGCTGTGGATAGTGACAATCATGTTTGGATCAGAATATGCCTTGGTTCAACGTTCATCTCAACTCAAAGATGTGGTCTCATCCTGTAAATGCAAGCGATCAAATACCATGAAACTCTGACCTGCCCAAATGGTCCCCATAGGCAACTATAGTGAATGGGAACGGTGCAGTATTTCGGTACAACCCGCTGTTAAGACTTCCAAGTGTCCTTCATCCGACATTCTCAGTGTCGGCGTAAAGTAAGAAAAACCTTTTCTTTGCACTGTACATTACCGCCATTTAAATACAGTCTAATTTATTTATAATATCAGAACAAATACTTCATTATTTTAATACCGGATTTTAAGATGCATTGCCTCACTGCTACCAGCTACTAACGGACCATTTTACGCAAACCCCGGTTTCATGGTACTCCTTACACCGTTTACATTAATATACATATATATTACACAAAGGTGAAAACTAAGCTATGGGAATAAAGGTCAAGCAAAAAGCACTCCTACAGATACGCAATGAATTGTCGATTATTTCTAGGTTAATACAGTCAGCTACCATAGGAACAAAATATAATATAAAAAATGAGGTGAATGGGGTAAACGCCGTGGAGGATACCTGAGTACAATCAACGTCACATCTTTCAAGCGGCTAACGATTATTTTGAAACGTTGTTAAAAAAACAAGCCGCTTCTA